CCACTCATGCTCTCTCTCTCTCTTTCAAATAAATAAATCTTTAAAAAAGGAAAGAAAATATATGCCTGCATTATATTTGTTTTAACCTAATTATGTAAGTATATTTATATTTTTATGTATTTAAATGCAAAAAAATCACTTTTAATGGCTTACTTGTTTACAGTAATATTCAGGAGAGAAAGTTTAGGCTGAAAAAGTGAAGGATAGATATTTTCTGAAAAGATATTTTTCTGTTACATTTCCAGTATAATAAAAATATTATATCTATTACTTCTAATATGGAAAATATGATGGGTAGTATCTAAAGAGTCATTGTACTAAGTGTTTCATACGCATTATGAATTGTTTAATCCTCCGAAGAGTTCTATAAGGTCGAAATCCCTTTGCTCCAATTTTTCCAAAAAACCATCAAGGCCAGCTGCTGCATGACCTTGTACAACAGTAGTGAGAGGGCCAGGGTTTAAATTCAGGTCTGTCTCGATTACTAAGCTGGTGCCCTTAATCATCCTCCTCTTTTCTCCTGGAACTGCAAATGATACAACTTTGGGGTGTTTTATGTTTACACACAGATTTGTAAGCAATGTCGAAAAATTACGAGATGAAAAATGATAAAAGAAAACCACAGACTTTGTGAATGCTAGGTTTTGTCAACGACTGCTATTTACGCGAGTTTTGGGGATAAATAAGACAGTAAAGTCTAATATTTTCCTCCCTGCAGCTTTGTAATAAAATAGTGTTTCTGGTGAGTTTTGTGGGCAATCGTGGCACTTTCACCCGAGGCTACCGAGCAGTCATCCTGGATATGGCCTTTCTCTACCACGTGGCCTACGTCCTGGTTTGCATGCTGGGCCTCTTTGTCCATGAATTCTTCTATAGCTTCCTGGTGAGTACTTCTCCATGTGGACAATCACTGCTGGAAAAAATGACACAATGGTGCTGCTTCTTATGCTTCTTCCTTTGATTTTTTTTTTTTTTAAGCAGGGCCTGACATTTAGGACAAATTATGTTATTTTTAGAATTTCCTAGGAAAATCAGGAATTAGTATTATTTTTCCTCTCTTCCTCTGAGAACCCACATAGGTGGTGGAACTCTTTATTTCCTCCCTGAGAAGTCACCAACGACCCGACCTCTTGACCCGGGCTTCATATAGCAGCTGCTTTTTGGTTTCAGCCAAATCCTTCCTTCCCCTTACATTTAGAGGTTCTCCAACAGAGTGTAGGAGAAAAAAAAAGTGGGGATATGTTTTCTTAGCCCTGGAATCGTTGTACTTTATTCACAACAACAAATATTACTGTAACTCTAGAATGGCATATAAGTAAAATGAGTAAACTGCCAACCTCGCAAAAATACTGAGTTGTTTGAAATCTTAGTTTCAGATTTAATGTGTCATTGTTTTTAAGCTTATCTACATGTGTCTAATTCATTAAGCGGGCTTTCACATTTCTTCTAGATTTTTTCTTCAGGTTATCAGTTTTACTTCCTACATATAGACTGTTCTATAGCCATCAACTAGGAGGAAGGGAGGCAATATAAATTCATGATAATGTTTGAAACCCAAAGCACTACCAGGTTAGCATCATGATGCCATGGGAGCAATTTATTTATATCTCCAACCCATGGTTGACATGCAGTGGAGACCACCACCCAATAAAATAATTCCTGAAACCTCAGTTGAAGATCTAAAAACATTATGCTGACCCTGTCTGCTTCTCTCACAAGGGACAAATCCGTCACCTGCCGCTTTCCTGTTACCTATCTAGCAAACCCAGGTAGGAAGACTGAAAAGAGGCAGATTTTCCATTTACTTGTCAAGCATTTGAAAGAGCCCCCAGGAAGCGTAGATTTGTCCCTTTTACTTTGATACAAAATTATCTTCTAGGTAGTTAAGTTAGATGATCCAACAATCAAAAATAGAGTTTTTACTGTTCCAGGGATCCAGATGAATTCCCTTTCTGCTCTAATTTACCACAAAAAAATCCATTTTAAAAAACATGCCCATGATATATGAAGTCCCATTACACCCAGCACTTTGACCTGACTTGTGACATGTAATATTCTGTAACATCTATAAAATGCATAGAGATAGTATGATAGACTCATACTATCAAGATTCATTAGAGAGATAATATGAAAAACATATGAAATGGTGTATTAAATCTTTCTGTTTTCCAAGGAAAGGCAATTGACAAAATAAAGGTGTATTTGAACCATTACATGAGCTATTGATAATAATGTTACTTTTAATTTATGTTACTTAACCTAATTTTCTAGTTGTATTTTCCTCTTGTCTTTTATTGTTCTAATCTTACAATAGTGATGCTAATCTGTTTTCACTGGGTTGTTGGTGAAAAGGATATTGTCCATTTTGATGTTTATAGAGTATTAGGAGGAAATTATAATGGACATAATGCCAACATGGCATTTAAGCATATTTTAAAAATATGTTTTATATTTAAAAAATACATGAATATGTATTTCTAGTTATATCCACAAATACCAATCCTTTATCCAAAATAATAAAAACCACACTCTAGATTTTCCTTTCAGAAATAAGTAGAACCATTAACCTGTCCAGTGTCTTACACCTTTTTTGCCTCCTCAAGATTCTGATTCCAGGGCTATGGAATGGGGTCCAGAAATAAGCATTTTTAGCAAGCATCCCACGGGGCTCCTGAATGCTATAAACTTTTAGAAACCATTCAGAAGTGACCTAGAGCCCATTTCCAGACCTTTTCTTTAAGTCACTGTTGAGTTAAAGTAAAGGAAAATCCCCTTTATGTCAACCAAAGTTGTTAAGTAAGCTGAATGAGTCAGTGTGATAATTTGGAAGTTGGATTTGCATTAATTAATTTGTCTCTCCTGAGAAATATTGACTTTGTTTCTAGAAGTTGTTTCTCCCTCCAGAAGATAAGTACTTAGCAAAATAGTTAAACATATTCTTTTGCATATGATCATGATAAAATAGCAGTTTCCTAGGGTGAGCAAACAAGGTAATATCTTTATGGTAATTATTGGCAAGACTGAAATTAAATTGGAAAGTAACTCAGTCCTCAGAAAAACAGGACAAGCCCTGGTGTTTCTGCAGGAGCTCGTGACACTGGTAATGCCTCGTTTCAACCAGTGCAGAAATTTTAATCACTTCCCACAGATAGTAGGAGACAAACCTTAATTATTCCAACTTTTAAAATACTGTTCATTTCCAAACAGATATTTGTGCCTTTTTAAGTGAATATTCACTTACTGCTTTTAACTAGCCTTTGATAATATAACATGTACTTCCTAACGTATAATTTCAACTTAATAATATAGCAATAAATAAAATTGTTCTTGGTGTTGACTCCAGAGAGCAAACACATACCTAGGTTCTAGACTAGTGCAGAGACTTTCTGCTACTAAACACAAAATGGGTAATAACCCATTAGAGGAAGTGAAAATTTTTTTAAAAATTGTGTTTTATATTTTTGCTTATACTTCTGTTTCCAAAATTACATACTAAAGTAATAGGTTTTGCCCTCATTATACTCCTTTAGTAAAGAGAGGTGCTTCTATTTCTCAAATATTTTTTTAATTTTCCATCTTTTCTATTGCAGCAGGCTCATAAAATTGTTCTAGTAATTTCACCCCTAATTCCTTGATTAAGCAATAACGCCTAATGATTCTGTCAATTAGCCATCACTTAGGTAAACATAATTCTGCATTTTCACTTTAGCCATCTTACGTATTTCAGAAGCAACTGCAGAATATCAGTGAAGATAAAAATAAGGAATAAGTAGCTAAGTTGGTTAAGTATAGTATTATAATTTTTTTAAATTCAAATTTGAAGCTGTGCTATTTCTGTATCTTACAAAATTGAAATTATGTTGGTTATGAAACCAACAGATGCACATTATATGCTGTGTTAGAGTTATCTTTATTGAAAAACAGTTTATTAATACGTTCCAACTGTAGAAGACACATGTATTTTGGCGTATTTTTAAGGTATCAGTTAGGTTGTTATTTTTTTCACAGGTAAACTAAAATGGCTTGCATCTGTATTTGTAATTACCTTTTATGTTTATTCAGCTTTTGCGTCACTGCATTTTTTTCCTTGTTTTATTTTTGTAGCTTTTTGATTTGGTGTACAGAGAAGAGACTCTGCTTAATGTCATAAAGAGTGTCACACGGAATGGCCGCTCCATTATTCTAACTGCAGTTCTGGCTCTCATCCTTGTCTACCTGTTTTCCATTATTGGGTTCCTTTTTCTGAAGGATGACTTCACAATGGAGGTGGATAGGCTGAAAAACAGAACTCCTATTACAGGTATTGCTACTACCACTGCATGAGCTTTCTCTGATGGCAGATACAACTTGTACACAGCTTAAGAGAATTACAGATAAACACTAATGGAGGAAATGTTTTCTTTCATTCCTTTGAAAACATGTTCTTATTCACTGAGAGCTCATGAATGTGAAATACTCTTCAGCTATCAGCTGTCAATGGGTATAGGAACATCTTGATATAAGAAACATCATCTGGGCTCTGTCTCAGTAAGGATTTTCAACAATGTTGATTGTATTCCAGTCAACAACTTCAGTGTAGGATAATGGCTTTGGGATTCTCTTCTTCTTTTCCCTGTCTCCCCCAAGAACAACATCTAGCATCATTCACAACCATTATTCCATATATGTTTGCTCACAGTACATCATACTTACCATGCTTAAAGAATTGAAAATGGTAAATGTTTTGATTTAGAAACCATCAGGTAGTAAGAAATCGGGTATAGCAAAAATGCTCAGAATACTGTCATTAAGGAGCTCAATTCATCAGTATGTGTTGTCACAATGTACGATATTTATTTCTGTTGTCTCACTGGTTAGGCATCACCCATTTACACTTCCTGTGATTCTTGTGGTGTGAGGGCTTAATCTTTCCATCTTACTTTGAATTTTTATTTATCAGCCTTTCTAATGGTTTCTTCTTCCCCCATGCCTACCTTTTGTCATTCGGGTTAAATTTCTTCATTACTCTTTTTCCAAAGCAGGATACAAATCATAGTTCTGCACTTTGCTGTTTGTTTCTCTGGATGATTCTGTAGCCTATGAGTTGTAGAGAATAGAAACCACAAAATTACTTTCCCCTCAAGCCATTACATCTAAAGGTATGATTTAATTAGTGGTGATTTATAAACAGTAGTCTTTCTTGCCTTTAAAAAACATTTCTTGATTATTAAATTGATGACATATGGTAGTATCTTTCTTAGGATATGGGGTAATTAAATGGCATTTAGATCTATCATTAAGTCTAAGTGATCAAAGCACAGAATAGAAATGTCATCTACGTAGATTCAGTTGTTAAACTTGAGACTGAATTTCATAGGTATTAGTCTTTATTCAGAGGCATGTGAAATATTTTGTTACTGCCTTTCCTGTTCTCCCTTAAATGTTACTTTTTCCGGAGTTTTACAGGTGTAAATATTTGGAGGAAATATTTGGAGGAAAAGCTCCTATCCATAAATAGCCCCCCCAAACTCAACTTTCACAAATTATCTGTGAATCATAAACTATCTGTTCTCAAAAATCTTCAAGTTTTAATTATTTATTATTTACTAGCATGATCACATTGAGTTATTCAATACAGGGTGAGTCTGAAGCTGAAGCGTCATGATTCCTGAATCCAAATGTGTACAATAGTTATTGTTTTATGAATCTAGTAGTACTTTTGTGTTATTTAAAAAGGAAGTTAGTGTCATTATGAATATATTTTCCTTAGAAATACAAAAATATCTTCTCTCTTTTTTCTTACAAAATAGGCAACATTAGACCTAGAATGTCAAGATCTTTATCAAAAATATGCATATTTATATAAAAAACTGCTAAATAAGAGAAAGCATTCGTAAATACTATTAAAATCTAGTATATGAGAACAGCTAACAAAGTTAAACTCTTGGATTCTTCATAGATTGCGAATTTTTGTTGCATCGGCTGAGAATGAATGTGATATCGTGCCCTGGGAAAAGCACCCCTACTTTCATAATATTTTTAATTTAATTTGTAATGCCATCTAGTATGTCTATTGATAAATAGCATAAAGTTTATTTTTTCAAGTATTGAATGCTATTGACTCCCAAAGTGGAGTGAAATTATCGAGGATAGCAAGTGACGTCCTAGGTAGCAAGTGACGTCTAGGGAGTGCAGAAGGACGCAGTTGCTCAGGGAGTAGGAAGTAGTCATCAGGAAGCCAAGGGATGGGAGCCCAGAGGGGAGGCTGAGCGTTCTAGAGGTAAATCACAGAACATCACAGGTGCCTATGAAAGTGGAGGATGGATAATCTGCAAATGGCATCAGGAATTGAGGAAAATGTAGATCCTACCTCTGGGACCAGTGGAACTGGGCTTGATAGAGGAAGCAGCCGCCGCTTGACCATGTTGAGGGGAGTCGTGTCTTAGAAAAGCCCAGGGAGTTGGAGGGCAGTTTCCGTTGACAAGCGGAGGTCACAGTGTCTCTCACATGTGTCCCTTCTTCCCCATTCTCAGTGCCACCCTCCAGTTTCCCATCCTCGTTTCTGCTCTCCCAGAGGACTGCGGGAACATCCCATGCAGCTTCCCCACCTTCAGCCTGTTCTGCCTGCCCGATTCATTCATTCTAACCACCTCTCTGATTGGGTCTCTCATTGATTCAAGAACTTTGCTGGGATCTGCCCCGACTGTGAGATGCTTGGTTTAAAACATCAGCCTGGGAGCTCAGGTCACTCTGCTCCCACGTCTGTGCCTTTGCTAGCCTCTGTGACTTTTGTCAGACAAACTGCACCTGGGATTGCGACCTTCTTCCCCTCCCCCGCCAACCCGGCTCATCTTTCTGTGTGTAAATCCCATGTCTCCTTTAGGTTGATCCTTCTCCAAAAAGCCTTGTATTGTTTTCTTTCTAAAATTCACTTCTCTGTCCTAATGCACTATATTACATTAACTGTGCTCAATTCCTCCCCTCAAGTATCATCCCGTCTCTGCCCCTTGGTATTCCCTATTTGTTAGGTCTGCAAGGCCTCCACTCCATGTCCTCAGAGCCTCTCATGAAGTCAGGAAATATGAAGTAAGGGAATGGCCACCAGGACACACTCAGAAACCCCATCTCTCTCTCTCTCTCTCTCTCCCTCACCACCAGAAACCCACTCCAACACCAAATGATGTAACCACTCTTTCCCCCAAGTTTGGCCCAGTGTGGGGGCAAGGAGTGATGGAGGCAAATGTGTGGCCTCCCTTCCCTGAGTGGACTCGGTCTTTCTCAGCTCCAGTGCTGGTGCTGCAGGCAGCCCGGTCCTGGTTGCCTGGTCCTTCGCCCGATCACACGTCCTGACTCTAGGTCCCTTTTGCCACGTCTGCCTTCATCTCATCAAAGAATCAGGGTAACCTTGGTGTGGTTACTTGCACTTGAATATTTCAACCCTTTGTATATAAAAATGAACTTGCTCCTGTCCCCCGTCTTATGGACTTTCCTTGATGACTCTGTTTGAAATGTTGGTTTGAGAGGTACAAATGTCTTTACTTTCTATTTGTTACTAACAACCACAACAAAATGTTTTAAGTTCTTCTCACCCAGATAGGAAAGTTACTATCTTCTGGTCCATTCTGGCCAGGGAAATAGGTGGTGCACTAGCAAGCAGGTGGATCTTTGGGAACTAAGGAAGAAAAGAAAGATCCTGAGTAGGATCTGACAGAAGATTCTTGCATTTTAAACCCTGTTCCCCTACTTCACTGTTAGAACTGCCATGACCTACAAGTCTCCACTTGCTATAGGGACTGACCAGTGGCTTGGAGCTCGGGAAACACCAACTGCTTTGGGGAGGTGTGTTCCTGGCATCCCGGGTCTGAACTCTGAATGCACTTGGCCATCCAAGTGCTGTTACACATGGTGGTTAAGGTCTACATTATTATTAATACAAGTATAAAAGGCTTCTAGTGGATTGGCTTGTGAACCTATTCTCTAGTTATAAAATTGCTTCCATATACAAAACTGCGTTCAGAGTTCCAAACCAACTTACTAAAAAAGACTTCAGGAGCACAGCTACATCGGAGTAGTAGTGCCTTTTGTTTACATGTCTTTGTAACCATATGTTCATTTCTTGTCATTTGCAAATTTGTCTCTATACCATATTCTAATTTGTGTGTTCCAGGTAGTAATGAATTTCCTACTATGACTTTAACTTCAACAATGGAAACATGTAAAAAGGACAACTGCTCACCCACAATACCTGCTTCGAATACAGGTCTGTAAAAAGGGCCCCAGAACAGTACAAACCTGATATTTTGCAGTTATGTTTCTTTGGAAAATGTTATTACCGCTAAGGGAGTGGCTCTAAGGATTTCGTGGTGGGTTGAAATAGAATCATGGAGGGTAAAAGAACCCAAAAGTTTCAAACTAGAGAAAGGATTCCCATATCTGTCATTTTGTATCCCCCACCCCATTCTTTATATTATTTCTATTCATGAGAATTAATCAGATTTACCCTGTGGGACAGCTGCTAAAAATACTGTTACCGTATTGCAAACCCATGCCACACGGAGACCCTTTTATTTATATGGCCTATCACAAAGTATCAGGAAATGCACAGGCTTAGAACTCAAAAGGCTTGGTATAATCCTGGGCTTCCCACTTTCTAGCTCTCTGTCTTAGATATGTTATGCAAATTTCCTGGACCTTGTTCAAGATGGTTTGCCCAGAGAGGGAGGGAGGGAGGGAGCAGACAGAGAAACAGAGAGAATATGATACTTTCCCTGTTTCCAAAGGAGCAAATGGAACCATGCTCATAAAAAGAATTTTTTAAACTCTAAATTGTTCTCAATGGTTTGGAAACTATGGCATATGTGAAATTTAATGAACTGTAGAAGGAATTAGTGATCTCTTTCCAGCGGCAGCAATGATGTAGGGAGTATAGATCTTTAAATATTTCAGGAGTTTTATATATTAGAAAGGAGTGGATTTAGTCTGTGTTACATCTAGGAAGGGCACAATTGGACTCGGGGAAGATGAGCGATGGAAGAGTTAATAAGCCCAGTGTAAGGATGGGGTCCCCCACTGCCATCTGGGAGCACATCCGTCTGATCATAATGAAAGGGGCGTCTTGCCCAAGCTTCCTTTTTTCTTGAGATGTTGGATTGTTGCATGAAGAAAAATGGATCGTGCCTTCTACAAACAAAATCTTTCCTGCTTTATGGCCTAAAGGGAGAAATATATACATGTGCATTCCATCCCAATGCCCCAGCAGCTCTATGAACTGTGAGCAGCTGCCTCCAAGACTTCTTTCCTCTCCTAAGGCCTGGCTAGCCAGTCAAGGCTTCCAAACAACAACCCAGCTCATTCCTTGCTTGTGGAGCTTTACTGTGCTCTGCAATTTCTAAAATCCTGTTACATGCATCCTCCGCTTTAAACACCTCCAATTTCCTCGGCCTTCCTCACACAGTCTAGCAGTGACTCTTGATGTCACACTCCAGGGCAAGGAACTGAGTGATGCTATCATATTCTGGGTAGTGGAATTTACCCTTGACCCATATTTGGCTGACTTGACTAAAATGCCATTCTTCACTGGTTCAGCTGTCAAGCCATAAATGCCTATCCTGTACTCATGTAATTGGGAGTTTGGGATTTCAAGCACAAAACGATGCATTTATTTTTATATATTTCTGCCAACCTAGACTCCAAGGCCATCCCAGTTTGTCCCAGGAATAGATGAGGAGCTTTTTGGACTAGATGATCTCTAGGTTTCAAGTCCCTCTCCATTCTCATGTGTCATGGGGCTCATGGTATCTTTATGGATCCTGATTCTATGAAGCAATATGTTTACTCTCTCTTGTGTCATCCTCAAGCTGATAAGCTACAGAACAGGGACAGGCGAACGACGGCCCGTAGGGAAATGTGACTTGCCACCTGTTTTTGCACAGCCCTCAGGGTAAGACTAGATGTAACCTTTTTAAAAAGTATTCTCTTCAAAGAACACGATGCAATGGAGACTTTATGTCACCCACAAAGCCTAAAACATTTCCCATCTGGCTCTTCAGAAAAAAAAAATTGCCAACCTCTGTTGTGGAAGATTTTCACTGAAGGTGCTAGAAATGTTGCATGGGACAGTGCTAAGGACAAATTCTTGAGCATGCTACTAGAAATATGCTTTCAGACCGACATAGTCATGTTCTATGCAATTCTTCAGCCACACAGAACTCTGTCTTAAATAAATCATCAGTTAACCCATGTTTCTCCATCTTAAAAAAAAAAAAAAAAATCATGAGACTCCTCAGAGCCTCCTTGCCAAAGCCCAGATACACAATGTCTGTCACATCCCCAGTTTGAGGTTAGTGTGAACCGTACTGGCTCCTCTTGATCCCACCTTCTTCCCACACTATCCTTTTAATGATCCATTTGGGTGTGTTATCTTGGGGACCAGCATCAAGCTCATTTGTCAGCGGCTTGCAGAATCTGTTACAATCTCAAATTCAGGTCTACAAATGCTCCTCTCCTCTTATTATTCATATTTAAAAAAAATATCACAGCAAAAACTTGGGTATAGTTTAAGTAGCTGGGTAAAATTAAATAGCTCTTAGGATCTTTTGGCTGTCTTGAACTTCAATTTTTTGTCTCCAGTACTTGTTACTTTCTTTTCAATTGGACACGCTTTCTCCTTAACAGAGTGTGGAAAATAATAGGTTAAAAAATGTACTTTCTCATTAGCACAAATATTCTAACAACATGGTCCCAAGGATATTGTAACTGTATTCCTGCCTTGCTCTCCTATCTGTGAATATTACCTTAAAATTATTTCCTTTGTTTTAAAGCAAATATACTATAACTATAGTTTGATTTTGAGAAAGGAATATTACTTTGCCAGTGAACCAACAACAAAGCCAGTGTTCCTCCTGCCAGAGACTGTAAAGATGGCTGGCCCAGGGGCCCGCACAGCAGATGCACTAGTGATGCTCATCCACAGCATGGGAGCCGGAAGCTCCTAAGACGCAGTGAGGTCACGGCCAGAGCCTCCTCTCCTGGAGTGAGATCTTCCCAGCTATACATGGTGTATGCATAGCCCAGGATGTGGCTGCCCAGCTCTGTGCAATCATGGAAATCTTAGGCTTGATAATCAGCCAGACATTCTATTGTAATTGTTTTATGTGCTATTACTAATTATGACAGTTTGATCTTAACATTTAAAAAAATGAAGTGAATATTTTTGTAAAACAGGCAATTCATTAAGTCAGCTCAGCACAAATCCTTGATGATGATGATGAGGGTGATGGTGATGATATTATCATAAAACCTTTATTCATTCATCCATTCCTCCAGCAAAATTTGTTCAGCCTGATCTATTGGCCAGCCCCCATGCTGGTTGTTCAGGACATAGTATTGAGTAGACAAACATGATCCTAGCCCTGATGGAACTTTATAGAATAGTAAGGGAGGGGGAGGCATAAAAAGTTATAAAATATGGTGAGTACTACCAGCAGTGCCATGATCGATAATCACAAGAGAGCTTGGCTGTAGGTAGAGCAAACAGAAAGGCCCTTCTGAGGAGGGATTATTTAAACTGAGACTTGGAGCATGAGAAGGAGTCAGTCACACCATTCCAGGCACAGGGACTAGCATGGGCGAGGGCCCTGAGGCATGTCAAGGATAGATAGATACTACTAATTATCCTCACATTATGGGTAAAAACACCGAAGGACACAAACTTTAAGTAAGATCACATAGCTAGTAGACTATTTTAGATCTCTGATGCCAAGGTCTGTCTTCTAGTCTTCTAAGTCTTATTGTCCTCTAGTTAAAGGATTAATCTCTGTACATTTTTTTCTTCCCTAACCAAAAATTGGATTGTTAAAATTCTGCCTATCATATTGCCTTTCAACTAGAATGCTTGGATAACTTTTCTTTATGCATGCTATCTTCTAAAGGCAATACTTTGACATAAATATTCTCAATTATGTATGTCTCAACAGGAATTGATCCCTCCCACCCCCCCACCCCCACCCCCCCTGCCCCATTCTCCCATCTCAAGACATTTGATCATGCCTGGAGATATTTTTGGTTGTCACAACTCCAGGAGGAATGCTTCTGGCATCTAGTGACTAGAGGCCAGGGGTGCTGCCAAGCACCCTCCAAAGCACAAGACAGCCCCCCTCAACAAAGAACCCTCCAGCCCAAAATGTCAGTAGTGTTGAGGCTGAGAAACTGTTCCATCACGAGGACTGTTTGGAGACTGGTTTATAACTCTGAATACAAACTCATAAAAGGCTTCTCATAAAATCCTCTACAACCTATTTCTCACCTAATATATTACATAAGGAACAGAACTTCCCTTTTCTCTATGGGCAGATGGGGACAATTCTTGCAGGCTTATTACCCCTGGAGCAACGTCTCCATGATTTTTAGGCTCCGCCCGAGCTGGGCGTAGGGAGAGGCAGGTACGATTTTGCAGGAAAGCTCCCAGAGAAGGAAGAAGAGGATAATGGAGGAATGTCAATGCTGGAGGTGTGTGGCAGGGACACTGTTGGGGGCCAGAACTGTTGGCAGTGGCTTCCCACCACCTGGGGTCATTCCTAAATCAGTGTTTGAAACTACAAGGATGCCTGTTATTAATGTACCTACTCTTTCCTCTGTGCCCTTTTTTTGCGTTTGATACAGTAAGTGATAAAATTCATCTGACTGAAAATTCCACAGATTTGATCTTCTAGCCCTTGCCCCCTTTAAACCTTGGCCACACGTATTTAATCGCAAAGGTAGAGGAAAAGCTTGCCCCTGGTGTTTGTTGTGCAGCATGGAATGCTTAGATTTAAAAATAACTTTTCCATGTCTAAGACCAGAATTAAATTTTAATTTGCAAACCCTAGTGTGCATTTGTGATGGCCTTGGTTTGTTACCTTGTGGACAGCAGGTCCACATTACAAAGGCCCAGACCCACACACAGGAGCAGAATAACAAGCCTCGTAGTGATTGGGGAGCCCAGCGCCTGGTTCCCCAGGAAGCTCCAGCAGATGCAGGTAGGGTCATTGTCCCAGCAGGTGCACATTCACATGGTAACGGGCAACCAACTGTGGCCGGAGAAAAAAAAATAAAGAGAACTTTTATTTCATTTGCTGCAGACCTACCTGACTTCTTAGACAAATATAATCACTTAGCAAAGAAAAACCAAAAAAAAAAAAAAATTTAAAAACCGTCTTTCTAGAAAAGTGAGGCCTTTTTTGGGCAATTTACAAAATATCGTTACAATTATTTTCTAAGTAAGGGTCATTTGAATGTACAGAAAAGGGAGGAAGTTCACAGATGTCACACATGTATGAGCCATTCAGATTTAATACGTTTTGGTATTTTACTTTAATAAAACAGCCTGATGAATAGCTGAAACTGATCAGCCTTGGGGCCACTCTGTGTTTTGGCTTCCCACGGGGTGCCCCGCATCTTAAATTTCTCTTTCTAGTTAACATTTTTAAAAAAGAATTTCCATAATGAATCGATTAGAATTAAAGTTTAAAACAAACAAGATGTTTTCAATTGCACTTGGACTTTCAGCTATATCTCAGTGGCAATCGGTTGTTTCTAAGAAATCATAAAAAAAAATGGGTACTTTAATTATTAAAGCAGAAAAATAGCATTATTAAATACTCTTATTCAAGCATGTCCAATATTCAAAAAAACATAGGCCAACACCTCAGATCAGAGCCAAGAGAATATATTCTTATTCCTTTCTTTGTACAGAACACTTTAATTTCTGTTATGACTTAAGAAAAGATACTTTATTTTACTAATGCTCAATTGAAAATGAAGATAATTTCGTCTCATCTCGTTCAAGTATAAAGTTGGTTATGTTAAAACTATAACTTTGCATAAGATTTTATAGCCATCTATCGGTAATAATGATAATTATGACACCTAGATTTGTTACCCCCTATGTGCCAAGTGATGTTCTAAGTTCCTTACATGTATATATATATTTAGTTTTTTTAAATGTGTCCACATTACACATCTATTTCCACTAATTCTTTCCTTTCGCCTGTACGCAAGCATGCACTCTCACTTCTTCTTTTTAAAGATTTATTTAGAGGGAGAGAGAATCTCAAGCAGATTCTCTGCTGAGGGCGGAGCCTGCCGGCAGGGCTCAGATCTCACAACCCTGAGATCATGACCTGAGCAGAAACCAAGAGTCTTCCGCTCAAACCAACTGAGCCACCAGACACCCCTCTCTCACTCCTTTTATAACCACCTGATTTCATCATTACTCCCTTGCCATTGTTAGCTAGCCCATTGTTCGTTCTTGTACCTGGAACTGCCTTGCTGCCTCAGTTTGAACCTTCCTCTGCACTCTTGTTACCTGCCCACACGAATCCATCTCCTTTTCAGGACCAGGGTTTCCGATAAAACAACTGGCCTGCACTTTCTCCTTCGATTTCTGCATCAACCATCTTCTGTTTCACTATTTGCTGTCTTCCTGTCATCTCCTGATGACCTGAATGTTCAATCCAGAGACCTTTTCTTGCTTCTCATTGCTTTTGACTCTTCCCATAATTTTTACATTTTTTGGTGTCTTCTCCATCTTTACATTATTTTCTTCCTGAATTTTGGATCACAGTACTCTCCCAGCTCTCTTGTGCTCTCTAGCTTTGAAAAATGCCTTCTCATCTTCTCATCCTACAATCATCTGAAATTCTTGCCTTGCCTTCATCATAACACCTTGCATTCAGCTCCTCCTTCTCAGTTGTCCATTTCTGTGGCCTAATGGGACTGCCCATTCCCAAGTCAGCTCTGGCCGGAAGCTCCAGCGGGATGTGTAACCCTGCCTTCCCCCTCGGGCCTAGGGTCATGCCAGCCCCTGTTCATCCATCCTTTCCATTCTCATGGCCATGACTCCTGGTTGAGGCTTGTCACACATTATGCCTCTTAAGCAGTCTTTCTATCTCCAGTCATTCTCTCCTCTTCAATTCGCCTACTGTATCACCACTAGATCACTTGTCAGAAATCACTGCTTTGAATATTTCCCCCTTACCCCCAACTTGAGATTTTCATGATGCTCCATTGCCTGCCAAATAAACCCCAAACTCTCAGAGAGCTCCCAGTTTATCTCCCCAGCTTTATCTTCCATTCCTCTACATGCTGGCTTATTTGATGTTCATCATATAAGAAAGAGTTTCCTACCTCCTGCGCTCTCTGGCCATACCATGGGAATGCCTCTCTGCTACTGTTTTAATCCCTTGACTATTTTTGAGGCAAACTCAGAGTCTACGTTAATTAGAGGGACTCCCCACTCATTATCCCTAGTATTAAATGCTCTCTATTCTGATCTCTTTGCACCACTTCTGTGGCTGTAATCACATGTTAACTTGTCTTGTTATTTAAGTAAATGTTTTATCTCATACTATTTCATTAGCTAGATGATAAACCACCTTGCCCCTGTTTAAAGTTCTCCAGCGGCTCCCCTGGCTTTCAAGATAAAGTTTAAACTCTTTAGCTAGGCGTATGAGTCTCTCCATAGTGAACAGGTCCCTTCCTGTTTCTCTTCTCACACTTGTCTGCATGCACCAAAGGCCCAGTCATTCCAGTGCACCTGCAGTTCCTCAAACGCTCATCCTCTTTTCTCTGCCTAGAATGTCTTACTTTGCTGATATTACTGGCCAGGCATGTGTCTCTTTCAATATTCAACTCAGGTGCCACCTTCTTCAAGATGCTATCCCTGATGCCTCCTGCCCCCGTGAGATGCACACTAACCTGTCTGCACGGTATCCTGGGATAGGACATTGCCTTTGTTCATCTGCTGACCCACCTTTCCTAGGAAACCATAAATCTCCTAGGGGCTGCCACACTTTCCTCTTTCCACCTGTCTACCTAGCACCTGGCCCAGGGTCTGTGGAGACAGTGAACTGAAGCAGGTTTGGCATGGGGAAGGCCTGCTGGTTATGTAGGTAGGTCTCCACAAGGTGGCATTTACTTAGGTGAATCTACTATGACCCAGGGCCTGGCTTTTAGCCTGCAGGCAAGGGAACTTGGCTTAACATATTGTGATTAAATCCATCTCACAAAGATAGAGGCTTGTTAACCAAACTCATGGAGGCTCCTGTATAAAACTAACACGCCGACGCACCAATTCTTACGGAGTGGGTTGACTGGACTGTTGCTATCATTGACCTGGCCTGGGCATTCTCCCCCTGCGTACATGCTATACAGAAAGTCAATACTCTCATTTTATGTATTTGCAGCCAATCTATTTTATTTCACAATGGCTAATCACATGAATTGTGTGTGGATTTTACTAGCTCACCTGTTAACGAATGAACAGCCTCATTTTTAAATTCTTAGGAAGAGGGCGCCTGGGTGGCTCAGTTGGTTAAGCGACTGCCTTCGGCTCAGGTCATGATCCTGGAGTCCCGGGATCGAGTCCCACATTGGGCTCCCTGCTCAGCAGGGGGTCTGCTTCTCCCTCTGCCCTCTTCCCTCTCGTGCTCTCTGTCTCTCATTCTCTCTCTCTCAAATAAATAAATAAAATCTTAAAAAAAAAAAAATTCTTAGGAAGAGATGGGAGCACTTTCGTGTGGCTTCTATGGACTGACTAACCTGGCACTTTGTTAAGTCTTCAGTATATATTTATGTCACATGACCAGGTAGTTGCTGATTGACTATATGAAGATCCTGCCACTAAATATAAGATTGCTTTGACTGAACATCTAACCATGGCAAAGTAGCATATAGACATATTCCATATGACCTCATTACTGGAAAACCACATCCCTCTATAAAAATTCCTTTAATTCCCTTACCCATTTCTAACTAGTTTTCTTCACGTTCTTCCTGGCCATCACGTTAGAACCCACCTTCAGGTGTCGGGGGCCTAACTAGCATGTTTTGCAGACAGAGCTTTCTCTGCCTGCCTTATCTCCTCCCCACAAGCCTCACCTCTTCCCTATTTCTCCTTCCTCCAAAGGCAGCTTTATTTCTTCTGCTTTCTAAATCAGAATGTGCCTTGAGGCTCACCTCGAAGGTAAGTGGTCCGGCACAGACCTGGCTGTTAGCTTTGATGCTGCAACATCATGCCTACCCATCTCTGACTTCCGCCCTCCTCTTGGGGTATATATTTATGTTTTAAAAAGAAACCGCTCTGAGTAAAGGGAAAATATCAGGATCCTCCCATCTATAGATGTGAAGTTAAAATAAAGTCAGTTCACAAGAGGAAAATCAGCCTTTTTGTAACAAAGTACCAAACAGGCTATTGGTCATGGATCATGTAGACAAAATTAGACTGTTTCTTTTTCTTTTTTCCCCTTTGGTTGTTTTTACATTTGTGCCTGTGGCTACACAATTCCAAAATTCGACACCACTATGGTTCTTTAGCCTTGTAACAAGAAAAACACATTTCTGCTCACTTATCAATTTTAGGAAATCCGATTCTTTTTTTTTTTAAGATTTTATTTATTTATTTATTTTAGAGAGAGAAAGTGTGTGCAAAGTGGGGGAGGAGCGGGGGGGGAGTGGGGGGGAAACATCTCAGGCAGACTCCACACTGAATGCAGAGTCGGACATGGGGCTCGATCTCATGACCCTGAGATTGCGACCTGAGCCGAAACCAAGAGTTGGACGCTTAACCGACTGAGCCACCCAGGCGCCCCAGAAATCCTGATTCTAATACAGTATGAACTTTTCACTATTTTAAATGACTGGGAAATTATTACCAAGTTTACCTTTAAACCAAATTAAGACCAGGAATTTTTTTTGTCACATTTTATCTTTTCTGTCTCCTCGTTTCTCCCTAAATATTTTCACATAAGTACATCCACATAAAATAAATTGTTCACATAAATATATTGTGCTTCTTGTCCATAGCTCAATGCTCATCATTAAAAGAGCTTAGATGCTTAACTAAATTAATGAAAGAATATCTGCCCTAATTCTTAAGCACCTACCATGTGTATTCTAATCCCTGTTCAGTGTTTTACATATCCCAAATATAATCTTCTGAAGGGTTTCATCCTTAATCAGACATCCCCATTTTACAGATGAGGATAGTGAGGTCAAGTGACTGCCCAAGTCTCAGTACTGGGACAGAGTAGAGTTCGGAGCCATGCGCACCTGGCTTCCTTGTGCACTCTTTTTCCTGCAATATCTTTGCTTCCTGGGTGAGTGGACTGTCTTCC